ATACACACATGCAGGGGTGCACACACGCTGTATACACACACATCCACCTATGTACACACACGAACACTATACACACTGCATACACGCACATCCACCTATGTACACACACGGACACTGTACACACACGCTGCATACACACATGCAGGGGTGCACACACGCTGTATACACGCACATCCACCTATGTACACACACGGACACTGTACACACACGCTGCATACACACATGCAGGGGTGCACACACGCTGTATACACGCACATCCACCTATGTACACAAATGGACACTATACACACTGCATACACACACATGTAGGGGTGCACACACGCTGTATACACGCAGACACACACGCATGGGGTGCACACACACGCTGCATACATGCACATCCACCTATGTACATGCATGGACACTGTACACACACACTGCACACATGCACCCCTGCGTGGTGCTGCATATACACACATCCGCACTATGTAAACACATGGACATTCTGTACACACACACTGCACACACGCATATCCACACTATATACATGCATGGGCGCTGTACACGCATGCACACACGTGTGCACATGGTGCACGCACATGCTGCATACATGCACACGGGGTGCACACACATGCTGCGTACATACACATCCATGGGGTGCATGTGCACACTGCATACACACATGCTATGTGCACACATGGACACTGTATACACACACTGCATACACGCACACGCTGCATACGTGCACACATGCTGTGCACACACACGAACATGCACAGTGACACTCAGCCTGTCAGCAGGGTTACTCGGGTGGAGAGATCACAAGCCAGGTCTGCGGGGCGGCTCGGAGCCCTCCAGTGCTCCGCCCTCCGCCCTCCGCCCTCCGTCCAGGGTCTCCATGGCAGCTCGGAGCCCTCCCGCGCTCCGCCCTCTGCCCTCCACCTTCTGACCTCCGCCCTCCACCCTCCGACCTCTGTCCTCCGTCCTCCGCCTTCTGACCTCTGTCCTCCGTCCTCCGTCCTCCACCCTCCGTCCAGGGTCTCCATGGCAGCTCGGAGCCCTCCAGCGCACCGCCCTCCACCTTCCGACCTCTGTCCTCTGTCCTCCGTCCTCCACCCTCCGCCCTCCGTCCAGGGTCTCCATGGAGGCTCTGAGCCCTCCATCCTCTGTCCTCTGTCCTCCAACCTCCACCTTCCATCCTCGGTGCCAGGTCTGCAGGGCGGCTCTGAGCCCTCCGCCCTCCGCCCTCCGTGCCGGGTCTGCGGGGCCTGGCTAAGAACAGGCATGCCTGGCTGTGGGGAGGAGGCTGAGGCCCACGCCGTCTGGCCCACAGTCCTTGCATCCACACGCTGTGCGGGAAAGCCGCCGTCCTGGCCCCTTCCTGCCAGCAGGGAGGACGGTTAAGCCACAGATGGCCCTGGGCAGACCACGGGGATGGCCTGCGGCCACTCGTGGGTCCCTCCTGAAGGACAGCCATGTCTTTTCACTGCGGAAATGCACCCGCGTGGAAAATAATTAATTCCGAGAAGGAAGTAGAAGACTTGGTTGGGGACCTTCTCTTGGACATGAGCGTCCGGCAGGTCCAGCCGGGGTCCCGCCGCCTGCCTTTACCCCGCTTCCACTCGGGGACTTGCAAAGACGCTGCAGGGGGCCGCGCCCGCCCCCGTGGCCTCATCTGCCACCTGCAGAGGTGACAGTGCAGGCCCGGACAGGGACGCGTGTGCCACCACAGAGGTGGGAGCCCCAGCACCCGACCACGAGCTCTCCCTGCACCGCCCGCTCCCGCCCTGCCCGGAAGCCATCCAGCCTGCAACCTGCCGCGGAGACGCACCCCCAGCCGTCTGCAGCCACCCTTTGCAGCGGGAGGCTTTTTTTCCCCCCCTCCCGCCCCCCGGGGAGTCCCACAGGGCGGGCCTGCTGGCCCCCCCTGCCATATGGTCACCTGGGACGGCCCACTGGGGCCACCACAGAGACGGCCCCTGTGAACGCCTGCACAGGCACCACCCCAACACGCGTGTCCAGTTCCTGGAGACAGGGACAGGGCGGAGGCCAGGGCGTGGCCTCAGCCTGCCACACATTGTCTGAGCCTCCTGCCCCTCACGGAAGGGGGCGGTTCTTGTGGCCCACACGTGGACACGCATTATGGCCTAGAGTGGCAGCCAGGGTTCCCGGGGTCCCCGTGGGCATTCGCATGGGGGTTCAGAAAGCCGGACCCTGGGCTCTGCCCCGCGCTCTGGGCTGGGGCTGCACGTGCCCTGCGTGGCCGCGTCCGGCTGCGTCGGCAGGGCGGTTGGCTCCGCCGTGGCCTGGCAGGAGCGAGAGGTCTGCATCGGAGCGTCCCGTCATGTCTCCCCGCTGCTCGTGGGGCACGGCCACCCACCTCATCACCCCAGGTCCAGCTTCCCACGCCGTGAAGGGGCCGACGGCGTGGCCAGCGAAGAGCCAGGCAGGGCGGTGGGGACTCACCGTCACGGCTCGGCGTGCGAGAGAAGGGGACGGACCCGCTCGGAGCGGGCAGCCATGGCGTGCCGGGCAGAGGCAGGATCTGGGCCTCAGGGAGCTCCTGGCACGCCTGCGGCCTTCAGGGCACGAGAACGACCCTCTGCTGCTCGGAGCCGCAGCTGTCCTCGGCCACGGCAGCCTCCGGACGCCGACGGGGCGTGCACCCCGAGGTCCATGGGCCGCGCACTCACATTGTACCCCGGACCCTCTGAAATCCCCCTCGGCCCCCTGGATGGGGCGTCTGAAATGAGCCCCTGCAGGGCACGCCCTGGGGCCTGTCTGACCCCTCCATTTACAATATGTGACCGGGTGGGGACAGAGGGGGCAGGAGTACCTCTGCCGGTGACTGCGGGGACGGGCCCTGAGGGCATGGGAGGACAAAGCTGTGTTTCCCTGTTATGGGAGGGCCCTGGGCCTGTCACAGCCACGGGCAGGCAGGGGGATGTGCCTGTCAGAGCTGGGCCCAGACCCATGGCAAGGTATGAGGTTTTTCAAGTCTTTTAAAAAAATAATTATGTATGTATTTACTGTTATCACTTCATCCAGTGTTATTACTTTTTAATTTGTCCAGAGACAGAAGGGGAGTGAGAAAGCAAGTGACCGGGTCTGGGACTCGAACAGCCGCCGGCCATGTGGGAGTCCAGCACCTTAACCACCACGCCCTGCTCTGGCCTCCACCTGGTGTGCCGAGGACTTCTCTGCGGGCGCCACCTCCCAGCTCTGTGCTCGGCCAGGCGAGGGCGCCTCCAGCCTCACAGAGGTCTTGGGTCGCACAGTCCGGGGAGCGGCCACCAGAACAAGGGTCTCAGGCCTCCCCGGACTTCTCCCTCGGGGCCGCCACGTCTGGCTCGGACCAGAAGAGCCGAGGGGTCCCTGCCCAGGCTGCCCGGTCCCGGGTCCCCGGTCCCCGGGACATGGCGCAGCCCTGCTGGGGGTCCTGCCCAGGCCTCCTGGTCCCCGGGATCCGGGACGTGGCGCAGCCCTGCCATGGCCCGGTGATTCCTAGGACCTGGCTGAGCCCCAGGCGGCCGTGGGACCCAACACCAGGCCCAGCCTGATTCACGGCCAAGAACATGCAGGCTGGCGGGGTCTCCACCACTTTGCCCCGGCCCCTGAGCCCGCTGGGCCCTTGCAGGGGCATCTCGGAGGCTTGTCTGCGCTCCCTGAGACTCCATCTTTAAGCCGGCCGTTGCCGTGGCCACAGCCAGCGCTGACCTTTGTGCAGAAAAAAGGGTGACCTTCCCGAGCAGCCCGCCCGCCCCCCGCCGCGGTTTAGAGGCGTCTGTCTAAACAATGTGTTATGGACCCTCCGCGGGTGTGCACGGCCCGGCCCGAGGATTTCAGTCCACATGGCCCAGCGCTTCCAGACCCAGCACGGGCCTGGGAGGGGGCACGGGCGCACCCCGGACGCAGACACGCCCTGGCCGGCTCGGCCTCCGTTTCCCATCTGTGAAGTGGGACCAGAGGGACCCGGCCTCCAGGGACACGACAGGGACCCAGAGGGCAGACGGGGCAGGACAGGGTCGGAGCCCCCAAGGCCACTCCCCAGGTGGCCCCCGACGTGTAGGAATGAGGCGGGGACTGCCTGGGCCCAGATTTCCCCCTTGAGGCCCCCGGCATCAGACGAGGGTCTGCCACGGCCAGGCTGTCCCCGCCCAGGACCCTCGACGGTCCTCGGGCCCGTGACGGCCACGCCCGTGGCAGCCAGAGGAGAGCGGCCCAGCGGAGGCGTCCACGCCCTCTCTTGCCGGCATCTGCAAAGCCCGGTTCTAACTCGGTGGTGACCGCGGTCAGGGCCAAGATGGGTACTGTGGGGGGGACAGCACACGGGGACAGGGGTCTCTGCACGAAGCGTACTGCCTCTCAGGAGCCGGTAGGTGCTGTGGGGCCGCAGGCAGGGCCCAGGGCCTGACAGGAGCTCCAGGGTCAGCATCCTGGAGTGCCCAGGCCATGTGCTCAGGGCCCAGAGCTCCACACTTCGGGAGAGGAGCCATGAGGTGTCCCGGGGCCTGGCAGTCCTGGCTGGCCGAGTGTCTGCCACCCTCGCTCCGGGCCCAGAGAGGCCAGGCAGCCACCCAGGGCCACACAGCAGATCTGCCACAGCCCGGGGCTTTGGGGAGGGGCTTGGGAGGCCAGGGGACCCGGCCACCCACAACGTCACACGGGCCACGCTGCCTCTGCCTCTGGCCCCATGTGGCTCTTTGCCTGTGTCCCTGGCTCTCCCTGTGTCTCTGTCTCTGTTCCTAACTCCGTCTCTGTCTCTCTCTGCCTCTGTCTCTGTCTTGGTCTCTTTATCTCTGCCTTTGTCTCTCTCTGGTTCAGTGTCTCTGTATATCTCTATGTCTCTCTGTCTCAGTGTCTCTGTCTCTCCTACGCACCGCCTGGCCTCCCGTGCCCTGTGTCCACTCTGGCCCCGTGCGCCCTCGTGGACTCTCTCGAAGCTCCAAGGCTGCCGTGCGGTCACCTGTGGACCTCCTGCCATCTCTAAAGGACAGCCCACCGGCTGCTGTGGGGCCTGCATGGGGTCTGAGCCCACGGAGGACGGGCGTCCTGGGCGACCTCAGAGAAGAGCAGAGGGCGGCCATCACCTCCTGCCCGCGGGGTGTGCTCCCCGGCGCGTGTGCCTGCGTGGCCAAACCCCTGAGCGGAGGCAGGAGGAGGATGGCGGCCACCGGGGCCCGCTCCCTCCCCGCCTCCCTCTGGGGAGCCCAGCCCTACAGCAGACGCTGGAAGGGAAGCGGGCCCCATGGCTGCAGCCGCCCTGGACCACGGGTGGGGTACCTCGAGCAAGCCCTCTGCCACCACACACCTTTCTTCCTGTATTTTAGGGTGCTTTTTTTTTTTGCTTAGAATTATTTTTTTATTTAACTTGGTTTATTTTTAATTTTACCAGAGAGGGACAAAGTGAGAGAAAGTGAGAAAGCAAGCCGCCAGGCCTGGGACTCGAACCGCAGTTCCGCCGTGTGCGAGTCCAGCGCCCTTAACCACCAGGCCACCTGCTGGCCCGTTTTCAGAGTTTTGTCATATGTTGTGTGTGCTTGTCGTAGAGAGAGACAGAGACGGAGAGAGGGAAAGTGGCAGTCCCTTCTCCTCCACTCTCCTCCTGGCATCCTGGGCGTGCACACGCCTCGGGTCTGGGACTCGAACCGCGGTTGGCCCTGTGAGTCCAGAGCGCGTGCGTGTGGGAGTGCGTGTGCGAGTGCACGCGTGTGGCTGTGGGGACGTCCTCTCTTCTGTCCGGGAAGCTGGCTGTCACGCCGGGCGTGTGACACTGCATTTCACAGGGCTTTCATCACGCCCGCCTCACAAAGGCGGCTCTAGCCCCCGCGCCCGCCTTCTGCCCGTGGAGCCCCTCGCTCCCATTAACTTCAAAAGTCTCCGCGCGGTCAGGCCTCAGGGCCTGGGGTGGGGGACAGCCGGAGACAGGGCCTTTGTGCCCTCCAGCTGTGCAGGGCGCCGGGACCCCCAGGCTGAGGACGCCACGCAGGCTCAGAGGGTCCGTCGACCCGCCCGCCTTGGCCGAGGGCCTGGGGCCGGCCTCTGAGCTCGCCAGGTCCTGGCCCGCCGTGACCCGGGGCGGCCCGGGCGGGGCAGGCACTGACGAACCGAGGGACAGAGAACACGGCCACACGCCGCTGAACACACGGAAACCCGAGGGGCGTGCCTTTGAGGGGCAAGCCCCTGCGCCCCAAGGACCAGAGCCAGGAGGCCCTCGCTGGGAGACAGGAGCTGCCCGTCAGGCTCAGTGGGGCGGCCTTGTCTGCTGGTGGTCAGGGCGCTGTCGGGCAAAGGCCCTGTGGCAGGGCGAGGGCAGGGGCAGGGCTGGGCAGGGGCAGGGCCGAGCCCTGGCCTATGCCTGCCCTGCACAGGGTGGCCAGGGCGTACCATGCAGGGCACACAGGCGGAGGACGGGGGCCCAGAGCCGGGCTGTCCCCTGAAGTCGACGAACCAGGAGCCCCAAGGCCGCTGGCCCGGCGTCCTCCATCTGTCCCTCCGGAGAGGCCGAGCTGCGCGAGCAGGCCCCGGGCGCGGTCCGTCCTCCGGCCCAGCCCAAGCCAGGTGCACGGGGCCCCAACGGCAGGCGGGCGCCCGGGGGGCCCGGACGCGGGCGGCGGCC